CATTTATTACTTAAGGATTCTTAATACCAACTTGCAAACTTGATTTTCTGCTTAAGCAGCAATGATTATTCAATAAACTTTTTCATAATTTTAATTTTCACCTTACTCCTACTTTCATGGGAATGAATATCAATGATGTTCATGTGTAACTGTCTGTAATAATTAAGAATGATTAAGAAACCGTACATCCACGTAAAGTCTTACAGATTAGGCACCCACATGTCATGTTCACCTTCGTCGGATTACGTTTATCATCAAAATATCAGTAGCTAAGTAGATTTTAATTTCATGTGATTAGTTCCGCTTATGGATTAAAATGAAACCAGGAGAAATTTTGATTAACAGTGGTATGCATTCATTATAACTAAATATGCATTAGGATTTAACAGTGATGTGGGAAACAGTTGACATACCTGAATATGAATAATTGAAACGACGTAGGTTATCAATAATTACTATATACACAAGTATATATATATGTGCAGTTTGAGGTCAAAGGTTATTTGTTTTTACAGTCAATAAAACATTAAGAATGGGTGGTGTAATAGTGGACTGGAGTTCACAGACAGATAAGTGGTGTGAAAATCTTATACGTTATAAATGATCCGTGGATTTAAGGACTGAAAACTTGGGTTACGTAATAATTGATTACAATTTGAAGAGATCACATAATTACAGAGGATTAAGTGAGTAGATGTAAGCGACAGGGTGCTGGAATAAATCGGTAACAAAATTTTAAAAGTGAAATGAATTACTACATAATCCATCTTATTACTTGTTCATCCCATGGATTATAAGGAATTCATATTATTCTCTATCTTTATTTGTTCTAGCGTCATATCGACTATTAATAAATACGGACGCGGTTTATAAAGTAAGACACTGAGTGTAGTTGCTATATTTATATTTCAATAATTCATTAGTTGAATAAAAATGTTACTAGGCAATACGGAACACGGTTGACGTGAACTTGTAAACCGGTTTTTAACATGACCTCCCATAATCACAAATTCCATAAGTTGTATACCGGCGTAAACGTCATCGCAAAGGTTTGACAACTTTAATGGATTCATACAACTTTGAAAAACAACAAATCAGTCGTGAAATAAAGAATTAGACTTAGTTATCAGTATCACATTCAATAAGTCAATCAAATAGCAGGTTACAGAATGTACCTATAAGTCTCTTATTTGCAGACAGCGCTAATCATTAGAGATTTATATTTCCTGTAATAAAAATTAATAGGTAATCTTTACAACACACAAATCAATGTTATTTACAAATTGCTGAAGTTAGTTTCGTCACAACATACAAGCGTAGTTTGACTTATGAAGAAAATGTAATAATTAATGTGGCATAAATGAGATATGAATACAAGGAACTTGTGATTCTGCTTCCATTGCTCATTCACTTTTCGTCACGTTGTTTGCATGAATTACTTCGGACAAGTCAGTCTGTAATGCAGTAGGAATTCATGAATTAACTCATTAATAGTTGTTTTTTGATTCAAGTCTGTGTCGTAACAAGCACTGGGAATTTCTTCAGTGTCTATCCCTTGTAGTATTTCGTCTAGACATCTGGTATTAGCAAGACAAATTGGTAAGCACCATTTAGATATTACTCGACAGTATGCATCATAACTTTGTTCACATTTTCGTCTGCGATTGTGCATTTCGTTTACAGAAAATAACAGACACATCATAAATCAGTATTAAGTACGACATGGTTTTGTCACCATGCTCAGAAGAGACACCCATCGTTTTACTTATGAAGATTTTGTGCTATTTAATGTGGTGTTATACACTGTTCCTGTATAGGTTCAGAAAGCCGGTAAAAAAGACTATCAACGTCAAGTGTTACTCACATAATTTTTCTCTGATACTTTACATAATAATATGTCGCTTCAGTACAAAACAATGCTACCTATAGTCCAAGTAACCTTTTATGGCTAAATACAAACAATTTATATAATATTCATAGTTAGTTTAATGCTTACTTCTTTCTGATTACATTTTATAAACGACTACGAACATCTATGTTTGCCGTCACCAAAATCAAGGAGATGAACCATATATAATGCTTTTCACGGCTTATTTTCATGAAAAGTCAATCTGTAATCTATTTTTGACTAGAAAAATGGTGATTTGACTTGTTTGACTTTGTATTGCTAAAAAATAACCATATTACGCCAACTACATATTTACTTAGCTGGTGAGCACAAAATACGTCAAACTGCTTATAAATTGAAATAAAAACTATCTTCCGATCACAAAGATTACGAAAAGTCACTTATGATGGAAAAAAGGCTGTTAATAGCTGATAAATAACGACACATAAAATCCACGACAATATGTTACATGTGCGCGAAAACTCGTGACCTAACACGCATAGTGTGCCCAGCGAACGATCGTAGGCTTTTTATAAAAGCGCCTGTATATGTTATGCGATTAATGGACATAATGATAAGTTAAAACAAATGAAAAAACAGATAACTTGTTGAAATAATTAGATTGAAGAAACCTGATTATTAATTTACCTATATATTTCACTTTCTTTCATTCATTTTTTCCTTCAAATTCAACCCAACATTATATTTAATTCTACAGAATCTTCTTAAATACAGGGTAAATTCTCTGAACAATTTGATGGTGGTGTACAATCGCATCTCTGTATAAGCTCGGAAGTGGTTTCTTTACAACAATAATGTAACAAGAAGCTGTCTACGATTATTCGCAACAGTAACTACAGCGTAACCTGAAAATTTTAAATTATCCTGACTGAGTTCTAAAGATTTGGAATGGAAAGAAACAAATTCAAATAGATGTTGATCCTGGAGGTTGTCAGTAAATCAAACGGTTAATAGTTTTCTCGGTTGCATATGAGTTTTAGAAATGGTCGGAAATAATCGACATATTTATGGCGGTTACTAAAAAATCATCACAGACCCCAATTCTTTGAAACATTCACGACTTAACGGCTGACTTGAAAAGTATGATTGTCTTTCCACTGGTCTTCATTAAGAAAAATAATTGTCAAAGGAGACGAGGTGTTGAACCATTTGTCTTTTATGGTTCTGTGGACATTTCGCTTCCAGAAGCTATTATCATCATATTGTGACCTCGTTCGTGATTAGAATTCGGAGTCGGGGATAATATATCTAACGAAAGTATGAAGACATTCTTATTGTTTAGAGAGCTGTAACTGACACCAGTGCTGCCATTGCCAAATAAACTAGTTTTGTTTTTGCAGTCGGAGATAGTTAAATACATTCTATTTAATTCGCTATAGAGACGTCGATACTCCAACTGCGAAGATAACCATATTCCTATCTCTAACGGCGACCTTATTTAGATTGCGATTATCACCCGTCTGCCTTTCGGATCAGGACATATGGCGTCAAAATGTAAACGGACCATCGGTCAGGTTCTCAAAATTTTCCAATTTGTGCATGCTCAAATTTCATCTCCAGCATCTGGAATTTGTTCTTCAATGAATCAAACAATATGGGACTACTAGGAATATCTAGAAATACCAGAATGGAGCAACGTATGTGAACGTTTTTGATCAAACCACCGTCACTGAATGTTCCCACTCTTTGAAGCACAAGATGGGGGTGTAGTGTCCGTCGACAAAAGTAATGTGTAACACTGATTCGAAGTGGAATGCCTGGAAGTAGAAGGTTGGAAAGATCGATTTGAACAGAACGGTAATGTAGACAGAAAATAATTGTAATAGCAATGAAGGAACGATGGATTTTGAGACAACTGATGACAGATTTACAGGTGAAGTGTTTAGTGTGTGGTTTTTGACATTTTGCTGAAGAACTTTGTAACTTCGCATTAAGTAATTAATTGGTTGTCCACATATGAGTGTTTCTCCACTACAATGGCGATTCTGCGTTGCAAAGAGGTGACCTCTATCAGGCAACAATAAAGTTTTAACGAATATGTGAGTTTTTATAAGTGGCTCCTACCGAACTTTGAGATGTTTTTGTGGTTGTTACCAGATCAATTTGGTATGCGAACAGGGATAACCGAATTGGACGAATGTGAAGAAAGCACCGACCACAGTAGTGTATAACATCGTTATATAAGTAGTACTCATGACGATACCAAGTATCCGTTAGCATGGTCTCAGACTTACCTGACTCAGAAGCCGGAATACTTTAGTGATGAGCAGATAAGACTTGACAGCTTCCGAGATGTATGAGATAACTGTAAGCCGCTGGACTGATGTATGGCACTTTTGGTAGGAAGCTTTTAGCTGTGCACTGTTTTATAGGACACTCCATAGAGTCCCGACTGTTCTATGTCATTATCAGCCACGAACGACTGATTTCTCATAAGCTCACTTTCTGACAGGTATGGTTCTTGAAAATCACACCAATTAAACAATATCTTGCAGTCATGGTCAAATTTGTTACATATTTCAAGAGCAAGAGATCTATTTTGTAAAAGTTTTGTAACTAATAAGTCCGTCAGAATCATTCCAGGGAATCAACGTTCTCAAACCCACCTAGTTTCGGGAGGTCATTGGTATGAACTAACGTCAACAACCCTAAAGTTTCAGGTCAAACAGATAAAAAGAAGTAAGAAAACTTTATCATGTGGCACATCTGCCTGTAGGAATCCCCCAAACCGAGTCCTCAAATTGTCATCACGTCTTGAATATGGTAAAAACTTCCACATTAGGGTTCTGGAGTGACATTCAAGCTCGCAACAGGACGATTTTGCTGGTCTGGTATGAAGAGAAATGCTGTGATGTGGGCAACATTCTATCTAAACTGCCAGAAATTTGTAAATAGACGTATTCCTTTAGGCCCTTTCAGCAGTTCGATTTTCAGTTTAATCGCTTTCATCATGACAAATTCACAATTTTAGGATAAGTTCTATAAATAGGGCAGTACTAATAACGAAGTAGGCCGTATATTGAGGGAAGTTTTGTTTTTCTATACTATTCTGTTATAACTTGCTTGTGCATGAAAAACAGATCTGTAGGTCATTGGTAGGTCATTTCGTGAGCAGATGATAACAACTAGTTGCTACTAGATTACTCATCAATTAGTTTGCTTCCTTAACGAAAGTTTGTTGTAAGTTAGAGTACGATTTTGATTCTTTTCCTCTACATTGCTTTGTGCATGTTTTATATTCGTAGCTTATCAGTCGATTGTAGCAAATTTTTCGGATATAGAACTTGGAGTGATTGATTTTTTGCAATGCAAAGCAACCCGAATCGGTTATTTAATTTTATGTGCAGATATGGTAGTTTTCTCACAGTACTGCAGAACGTATATCATTATATATCATGCCATACTGAGCTCTATTATATATTTTACAATATAAATTTCATCTTCCATAAACATTAAATTTTTCGGAAATTAAACCGTGGACGTAATAGCACGATAGTTTTTTCGGTTCACAGTTCAGTCGGTTTCATTTCGCTGTTTTAGCCACTTTCTGGTTTAATGTGATCATTCTTTAGTGACAGTAGATAAACTAGTCATCCACTTATGTTCCATCAAAAACTCAATTGTTCATTGAAACTTGTCACCATTTTTTTCTCAGAATAGACAGCGCCAAAGATTGTAAGTTTTTATTTGGATCTTCCGAAAGTATTCCACCGAAGCAGTATATTGGTAAAAGATGAACCATAACACTAATCTTTGTTTTCAAGTTAATTCAAGTCAAAAAATCATTTACAACCGTATAGAAAAAAGTGACGAACTCAGTATTTTTAGTTAGATTATGATTATGTCAGATAAAAAATGAATTTGTGAAACACTTCCGCTTCGCAACTCTAATATTTATTAACCTAAGTGTTATTGGTCCTGTAAAATATTTAATACTATAAAATATGGATTTTTCTTGAAGTACTGCATTTGGAATGATTGCATTATGTGGTTATATTTTCATATGAACTTCTTTAACTGAGCTTTTAAGTGTACAAAATTAAGCCTAGCTGACGAATTGTAACGCATAATTGCAAGGCAATCATTTTTTAAATGATAGTTGTGTAAATGAGGGACAAAGATGCCATTTGATAACCATGTACAAATTAGTTTATTATAATTTAAACAACAAATATGATCAAACACATGCTATCTTTATATTTAAACTTGCGTTTAACGATGATTTGTCGATTACCATAAATTTATCTGAACTGATAAGTGGAAGGTAATAATTAAAAACAGTACTTATTTTAGCCACACAAAACTACTATTGAATAATTAAAAGAATATATCATCCTTAGTATTTCAGCTTTACTTCTAGTTATCAATCCACTTGTAGTTATTATTTTACTGGAAGGTTGAATTTTTAATGATATACTTAAGAGCTTACTTAGTTAATTCTGAAAGAATTTAACTTTGTCTACGTTTTATTATATGAATAATTAATACTGAGACCTATTCTTTGTTACTTTCATATTATTAGTTAATTTCGGATGAATGGCTTGCCATAGTTGTTGTAATATCAATTTAAGGTTGTACGTGTTGTTTTGGCTCGAGTATTGTCAATAGAACTGATAACTCAGTAAATTAGTCTTATTCTCAACGGTATTTAGTTGTTGTGGATCAAGTATAGCTGCTAAGTCGCCTTTATAAATAACTACATCTCAGCTCACTGTATTTGCAGTTAAGTGCCCGAAAACAGTGTACGAAAGTTCTGAGCTATATTTCCATATTTGTTGACCTTCACTATGTGCTTGTTGGAGTTTAACCAAAGGTGCATGTCTTTCAACGTATAACTTAGCTAATATTTTGTGAACACCACTACAGTCTCACATGGGATTCATTATTTAAGTATCTGATTAGCATACAACGCATTGAAATCTTTAAATTAACGGAATAATTGGATGTATTTCTAATTAGTGAAAGAAATTGCTAATGGTTCAGTGGTAGGGAAGTATTTAGTTTGTGGAAAGGTGTGATTAACTTCATAATTCATAATCGCAATCGTTTGTATTCATTATTCTTTCGCTGTGCTTTCATTTTTCATTACTATTAGTTTCCTTCTTTCTGTTAATCAAAGGGATGTAACATCTGGAAGAGATGCACTGAAGTTTAAAATCTCATTTTGTCAAACTTTAATAAAAATTTAGTTTATTGGGTAACAAACAAGGTCAATCAGTGTCATCTAGTTTGTTAATCTTGTATTAGTCAAGAACTTGGATTCATTACCATTAACTTGGTTTTAGACGTTGAGGACAACCTTATTTTTTGAAAGTTAATGAGTCTTTTAGTTAATATTTTCACAATTTAAAACATTCCATATATATATTCAGTTGGCAACACAATTCCTGAAGTCGATAGTATGTGGTGCGTCTTCCCATGTTTTGTTTCATTTTACAGTAACGTTGACAAAAATTGGTGTTGTTGATGAAATCAAAATAAAATTCTCTTCTGTCAGTATTTGGTAATAGAAAGTTTGTACATGACTTCAGTAGTTTGACAAATAAGCTTGTAAACATCCTTTTTATTATGTCTTGCATGATTATTATCATTATTATTTTCTACTAATATTTGTAACAACATAAATAATTACACTTGACTGAAATTATAAGAAAGTGGTTTATAAAAACTTGTTTCACATAAAGAATAAGTGAAGGGTAACTGTTTCAAAGGGATTATTATCGTATTGTTATTGTCGTTATTCATCGTACTTTTCTGAAAGCTGGACCATTTTAAAATGGGAAAAAAATAAATACGACAAGTAGTTAATCTAGGAATATCTGCAACATTATAATAAAACTAGTTAAAGTACATACAAACCATTTTCTTGATCATTTCAAATATATATACGATAAGTAAGTGGAATTGAGTTTTGCTTCTTAGTGATCACATAATTTCACGGATGAAGTTCAGCACTGAAGACAGTAACTGGGAATTCTTCGTTCTGGGTTATGCGACTCAGTAACGAGGTTTTTGGAAGGCTGCTTGCTCTTCTGAAACTTAAGTTTATCCAAAAGTCTAATTATTCACTAATAAACTGGTATGAAGCAGCTTCTTCGGGTAGTGTGTTGTGTACAAAAACCAACTACTTATCAAACTTTTCTATTTAAAAATGCAATGAAATTCATTAAAATGGATGGAGTGGTAACAATCTACACTTCGGTTAGCATCCGATAAGTGGAGGCTAGCTGCATCATAACGCATAATCACACACTTATGGAATTTCGCCATTTTGAGGACGTCCCATAAAAATATAATGCCGGGCATACTTCGATTTGTCACTTATTATAGTATTTACAGCCTATTTGATCGATAGGCCATAAGTAATCGTATGTATAGTGACGTTTAATTGGATATTTTTACAGATTCCGTTGGTTTACGTTTCCCTGTTTATTGAGATGTATGCCACCTATATTTTTAGTATTTTATTTTGATGTACAAATAACTTTAATACGGTTGATTAGTCACTGAGTAGAGGGCGGTATCATGTTTGTCTAGTCCTTTTAATGCTGTCCAAACTCTATGGGTCAAGGTGTATCGTAACCACTAGTTTGAGTGACTCGACATCACATGGACTGTATTGAGATGTTGGGTAAGGTTTCAGACCGTGAGGCTGGATGACACGGGGTCAAACATTTCAGGGGGCACATGCCCTTTCAATATTACACGTAAATTTTGCTGACGAGTGTCAATCAGCACGAGACCTAAGTCCAGAGTTTCTTGTAGAACACCTCCAACAACCTAAAAAACTGAACACAGTTAAGTAAATGAAGATAGCTGATGAAAATAAACAGTCTATTGATTTTTACTTATTTTTATTATCATCGTCACCATTGTTATCGCAATCGTTAGTAAATGCGATCACTATATTTTCTATAAAAAATGTGGCCCAGTTGTCAATAAATGTAATGGTGGCAATTTTTATCACGATGGTGGAATTTATAAGGGGGTGATTAACAATTATTATTTAAATGGGGAATGAATTAAAAAAATTATATAAATTATTAAACCTTAGTAGTTGCTTTCTAGATATTTGTATTAGACACTTATAAGATAACTGGCGCGGATTACTAACAAGTGCGTCGTGGAAAGCAATCTTATACCCTTGATATTCATGTAATTTTTTGCAAGAAACGTCCAGATAATCGTTCTGTATCCTACATCCGTTTGATCAGTTTTATTAAGTAGACAAATTCAATATCCATAAATAATTTAACCAATTAATCTTGATCAACAAATCATCATCAAAGCGTTAATCACTGTAAATAAAACAGTTTCAGCCAAAAATATGTAATTTAATTGTTCTTGTAAATGTATCGTCTTATTTTTCAGAAATTTAAAACAGGTAGTCGCTTTTATAAATCTTGATCAAACAATGAGTTTAGATCAACTCCATCTTCTCATTGTTCTATAGAAATTTATGATAACTATGGTTGATTCGTTTCCGTTATTTGGTCAATGTTTAGATCGTTTAATCATGGATCCCAAATTAGTCTTGATAACTGAAGAAAATTTTGATAATTACATTGTATACTTTCGTATCTGTGTTGGTGAAGTAAATACATATAAAGTCGTTTTTGGGACTTACCTGATGAATCGTAAATTTTTTAGAATTAGATGACATCAGTTTAATCGATACAGTTATCCGACTACGAGAATAGAAGATTTTTGTAGCAGTCTATTAATTCATTACTAATATGCTGTCGATATAACATCTTTCAAAGATTCATGCCATGAGTTGACTTATGTGACTTCTTGTTTCTGATTGCCCGACTTTAAATACTTTTTAAATTGACTCATTTACCAGATACCTAAGTATGAACTACATTCTAATTAAGAAGGGTAATCATAATATTCGGTTGCTAAGACCGATCATGTCAATCATACCTTAATGTTTCTTCATCGAGTTTAACTTTCTAAAGTGTTCTTCTCTGAAAAATTAATGAACATTTCAGTTTTATTAAAAGCATTCTGGGTATAAGTATGGATTATTCAAAATTAAAAGTTCTTGCTGTTTTTGGATAATCTAGCTTTAATTTGATGGAGAAAAAAGATACATTTATGAGCAACTATTTTCTGATACCTACATTTATGATGCTACATGACGAGCATTTGATTCATAGTTTTATAAATGTTTGCAT